CCCCCACCCCCCCCCCCCCCCCCCCACCCCCACCCCCCTCCCTCCCTCCCTCTCTCTCTCTCCTCCTCTTCTCCTCTCTCTCTCTCTCTCTCTCTCTCTAATGGCATACGTACGATGGCGACGGTTCCGCTAGACGAAGATCCTGCTCAATCTCGTCCCGTGCAAATCGGAATGCGCCAGCTTGTTGCTTGACACCGACAAGCGCCTGACTGGCTGGGCGCATAACTTCTGTGCGAAGCTATAAAACATAATTTTGGGAATGCCCAAAGGAGAAAGACGAGCTGGTCATTGCGGCTGGGCTACTCCAGCTAAAGGATATCTAACGGTCCAGCTGGGACAGCTTACTAGAGGCATGCCGGAGACCTCCAGACACGGAAGCCCACCAGAGTTGAAGCGAGCTTTCTGGAAGAGGCCACTGGATGAATCTGCAAGGATGAAGTCAAGCGGCGCCTACTGAATGCATGCACCACCCCACTTCTCGGGCCGAGCCCCAGTCGAAACTCACCTGGTACACGGAGTACTCCGAGAGCCGGTAGAAGACTGGGAGGTAGCAGTAGGCAGCGATTGGCGTAGCGATGGCGTACGAGACGTTGATGAGCACGAACTGCGTCCCGAACCGGTAGTTCTCGGCGCTGACACCCAGCAGCGTGATGGCCGACATGAAGCTGGCCAGCAGCGAAAAAGCAACCGGTAGCGAGCCCATGCTGCGGTCCGCCAGCAGGTACTCCTGCCAGCCGCCCAGAGAACGCTCAGCACTAAGTCACGGTATGCTATGCCGACACCCCCTTCGACTCTGTCTGTGTGAGGGGGAGACGGTGACCATCACAAGGCAACAGCTCTGGTGCCAGGATGAGGACCTCTTGATGAATTGGGCGGGGGTAGACTACGATGTTTTACCTGTTTCTTTGCGTGCGGTGTCGTGGGGCGAACATTAGTGACGTTCCAAATATGGGACAGCTGACCCTAGCCTACTTGCCACTGAGAAACAGCAATGAGTCCTGGGACACTGAAACTCTGAAGCCTCTCAACTGAGTCAGGCAGTGACGTAACTGTGCATCTATTCTCAAGCGACCACTCCTCCACTAACATTTCAATTTATTGTAATATTATCACAATAAGGTATCGAGTATACATGAATTCCGGAGTCTCATCCCAACGGCCTGACTATTTTTAGCTTTGGTAGCAATGTAAAGGCTCTTACCGCCTGACTTCTCTGTCGGCCGCCTGTGCACGCGAAGTAGACGCCTATCATAGCAGAGATGGACAACATCATGCCGCATACCACGTAGTCAGCCAGAGTGAAGGCCGACATGGTGGCAGGTGCTGCTGGCTTGAGCAGATTTGGATCCCCTAGGGAAGAACACAGAATATGATAAAATGCACAAAACTTCACAACATGGACCAGTGAACAAAGCTTTTTTTTATTATTGCATGGCTCAATTTCAAGTTATGTTGATATCAATATGAAAAACAACACTTGCATCAACATGCTGGATTGGACCACAAAGAGCTCTTCCAAAACCCCCAGGCCAGCATCAAACAGATTGGCAATGTAATTTTTGCAGCTAGGATTGAGTGATTGCAGTTGCCCTGCATATCAGGATGCGTGAGAGGATTTAACTCTATCCCTGGGGGCAAGCCTACAAGCCGCCTTCAAAGCTTTTACCCAGACAAGTTTTGAAAACTTTTGAGATAAGTGCTAAAATTGTGAGAAACTAAGTTAACACTATGTTTTATATGCTGGCAAAATCTAAAGTTTCTAGTCATGATAGTTGATTTTGGGTGACATCAGGAAGCATGAGGATTTTAACCCTGATGATTGTTGATTTTTCCCTCTTTCTCAAGGTAATGTTAGTGACATTCGATTCAAGTGTTTGAGTATGTTGCATGTATATAAGTCATGTATTTTCTTTGGCTAAAGGCCATGTAAAAAGCAGCTGTTGATACTTTTGCCCCAGCCTGGTGTTCTCTTCCACTTTTCCACAATTATTTTAGGTATATATCATCAGATTGCTTGAATGAGAGATTATACTTATTTCTTATCATAATTACTTAAGTTCCAAGGTAAAAGTACAGATGTACCTGTTTCATGATTATTTACAACATGCTCTGCCTGAAAAACAATCATTGATGTACAATGCTCTTTTTTAACAATAGGTACCAATGTATACCATGACCAGAGTTAGAGCAATGATTGGTATTTGGGCACAGTTGACAATTTTCAGGCAGAAATACCTTAAATGGCACAGCTCATGCTGCACTGAAGCAGCTCATGGTATCTGGGGAAAGGCAATGCACTGGGAGATTGTGTTACCAAATATTTAGCTGATGATGACCTGTGGAAGAAATAGAATATAACTAGAAAACACACTTCTTTAACATGATCAGTTGTCTTTTGCTACCATATTATCTTGTCCTGCCTTGCATGGGCCTGCTTGCACAACCCTTCCTGTGGCAAGGGATTTACAGATTATATTGATGATGATGATGATTTGGGGTTTTAGGGTGCATCAACTGCTGTAGGTCATGCAGCACCCAACATATTATATTGAGGTGCTCAGATAAAGCTTTTGGGCAAGTGCAAAGCATTTTGCCTGACAATTTCCACAGCTTGTGCTTGACTGCTAAAATGGCTGCAAACAAATGCTTGCCAGGTAGCCAGTGCCAGCTGTAAATCTGACAATGTAAAAATGCAATGCAGCATATTGGATGGTAAATATAGTATGATTCTGGCCCACCTTGACTGTGGCATGAATTTTAAGCTGTTAGTAGGTACAAGTAACATCATAGGAAAATCCTGGGAGATGCACCTGGCCAAAACATCAGCTCCTGCCTCAAGCAGAGGTGTTGCTGGGTCCATTTGGATAACACTGGATTGGCACAACTGGCCATGCACAAAAAATCATGCAGGCTGGTAGGTTACCTGTTCTCAGACTGGAATTTCCCTAAAGCCAAAATAAGCTTTCTGATCATAAGATGGTGAAAACATACAAGATGATGTTAAGGTGAAAGTGGAACTTTAGGCCAGGGGCAAAGATCCCTTGAGACTCCCCCCACCCTCCTCCTAGCTGGAAAAACGCACTAATCACAATTTGGTACACATTTGGTCCTACGCATGACGAGTGCGCTTGCCGACCATAGAGATTTCTGCACAATGTCTAGACAGTGATTTGATTGAAGAGCCCTACTAAATGGGTGGACACGCCTCCTTTGACCAACTGCCATACCACAATGAATGCAACACAATCAAGGTAAGAAATGTTTCCCGGCGCCCACCCACCTACCACGCGCTTCGCTCAGACGCACAACCCACAGCCACCCAGCGCGCCTTCTGCACTCCCCGCACTGGCACCAGTATGCAATTCTAGGGTCTTTCACTTTTGACTTTCATGCGCCACTATCACGAATATTTTATCGCTACCATATTATAGTTTTTCCTTACACACTGGTTCGCTAACGTCTGCCGATAGTAAGTTAGTCCGTGTCCAGATTCCGATTCATATTCAAGTCCTCATTCCAGATTAAGAGAACCATGTAGCATAAAAAGATTTGCACACTTAAGTATGACGCCTGATTACGATAAGTACAATATTTTAAGACCGGTCCCCGGAATCACCGGCGTTAACTTTGGATCAAACATAGCGATCTGAAAAAGCGCACTCTTTCAATTGTTTGGACGCCAGTGCACGGTACTCATGATACCTCGATCACTGCTGCAGGTAGGGGGCGCAGGGGCACGCACCCCCCGTTTATCCTCCGTGGCTCCGTGGGCCTTTTTGGGGCCCTCGGAACTTACGATTATCGGCCCGGTTTGACGGCCCGACGAACCCGAAAGACCGGCCGGAGGCCGTATTGAGGGACATCGGTCCGCAGGGCTGGGCACTCCAATTCCAACCAGAAGGCCCTGCGCGCTGATCAGGGGCCCCTGAGTCAATAGGGCCCGATATGTTGGTCAAGCACTTCCCATTTGGGGGTCTCCATTGAAGAGTCTAAGGACGGGAGGGGCTGGTCAGAGTCTCATTCACGGGCCCCGGCCTGAGGGGACGAACCCCCAAATGACAATCAGAGGGCCCTTTGCACCGATCAGGGACACCCTAAGTTGATATGGGTCTATGTGCCGGTCAGGTACTACCAGTACCGCACAGTCCGCTTCGTACCGCTGTGGGCCCGAGGGTTTCATTCCCACTCAGCTACAAAGCCGGGGCAGTGATTTACACCGGTCGGGATTCCTGTATCTGCCAGGGACCTAAAGCGCTGTACCTGTCAGGGGCCTAAAGCGCCTAACAGAGGATCATGCGATCGCAAGGGGCCCCGTGCCGACCAAGGGCAGTGTTCGATGAGGCCCGAAGAGGGGCCCGGGCGGCATAGCGGAACCGACTTGCAAAGGCCAGGTTGGAGGGCGTAAGGGCTCGAACGCTGAAGGTCACATACAGAATTGCGATCCGTAGAGTCGTGACCTGAAATATTAGTCCAAATGTCCTCTTGTGCCGTTTGAGGATCTCCTGAGACCATGCAGGCGTCCAAGTCGGCTAGAGACCACGAACATCGAACAGCTGGGGCCCCTTACCCAGGCAGGAGCAAGACAAAGGTCCACCATCTCCGCTGGTCTGGGTCCCTGAAACAGTAATTTGACCCCTGTGTCGGCCAAGGGCCCACAGTGCTTGACAGGAGACCATGTCTCGGCCAGTTGCCCCTGGTCGGTCACGGGCCTTGCTTGAGGAGGGGCCGGAGGGCCCCTCGGGACCAAAGATCAAAAGCCCGATTGGTCCCGGGACCCACCCCACCCGTAGTTCCGCGACCTGAAATGTCAGTCAGAGGGCACCTATTGGGGCCTCCTTATTAGGGAACTCTATCCCAATTCTAAAGGGCCGCAACACGAAGAGAAACAGTCGGCTCCACGTCCGCCTGAGCCCTTGAGGTCCATTTTCCTGGACAGGAAAAAGGCCGTGACCCGCGATTTGCACTGCTCGGGGTCCCTGACTCAATGAGGGGCTCCTGTGTCGGTCAGGGGTCACAGTGCCTAACTGGGGTCGTGAAGTGGCCAATGGCCTGAGTCAGCAAGGAACGGTGTTTGAGGGGGCCCGAAGAGGGGCCGGAGGGAAGACCAAAGATCATGGGCCCGGTTGGAAAGGCTGAACGGTCCAAGCGGCTGGCTGTAGATCACATGGAGGACCTCACCCGTAGGGCTATAATCTCAAATGTCAGTAAGAGGGCATTCTACGCCTACTGGGGACCCATTAAACATAGCATTCCTCTATTTTGGCCAGAGGTCAGCAACACCGAACGATCGCCTTCGTGTTCGGTCTGAGCTCTAGGGGCCTTTTCCCAAGCAGGGCCACGGCCGGGTCGTGATTTACATTGGTCGGGGCCCCTGCAACGATGCGGTTGTTTTAGCGTTCAGGGGCCAACAGCCCCTAACAGGGTATTCTGTGTTAACAACGGACCTCGAGTCGATCAGGGAAAATTTGCTCAACAGGAGCAGAGACGGGAGCCCGAATGGCAGGGGGCCTCTTGCGCAGGTCGAGGCCCCCTGGCAATGCAAGGAAATGTATGAAAGCTGATGATTGTTCACATCGAGCAAGTCCGGCATGGATCCGTCCAACCGAGCTGGAGTCTTTGAGCCAATTATTGGAGCAACTGCGGCTATTAGAGATGCTGTAGAGTCAATCAGGGTTTTTGCGTCTGCCCGAGTCAGAAGGCTTCCTGCGTCAGGAAGGACACCAATGTGACATGAGTGTATCCCTCTAAGGGTCTCCGGATCGGCCGGGGGATCCCCCCCCCCCACCCCCGTGTCAGAATGGCAGCCGGAAGACACCCCGGGGTGGCACAGAATGGCCCTTCAGTCCTTGACCGGGAACAACAATGTGGCCTCTAGTTTTCTATCCAAGGAGCCATTCCCGAAAATAAGGGTCTCATTAGTGTTGAATGCCGTGGGTAAAATGAGTTGAAAACGAATGATGCCATCCCATGCTTGCCTGAGAACACTTATTCTTTTGCAACATCGACAAACGAAACAGTTTATTAAAAGGCTGGAAGCCTACGCGCCCGCAATCTCGGAAGCAAGTTCAACAATGGCTTGGGTCTCAGTTCCCGTGAATACGAACGGCGTTGACTACTGTAAGCAACACCAAGCGATGGGTTCCGTGCGCGCGAGAGCGACCGTCATGAAATAATGTTTTCGAATGTCTTAAAATTAGGTACCGTTCATAGACCAGGCCTGGCCTATCTTTTTGAAAACTTTGAAGTTGTCCTCCGGACGGATTAGCAATTGCAGCAACGCGAAAAAATTGAGATTCCACCCTTACTCCTCAGTTTCACCACCAGACTCCAGTACCACCTCATGTTGCTGTAAAGGCCAATCCGTTCATTGTGTTGGATGCTAATATTGTGAATTTGTAGGGCTGGGTTAACCAACGCCCGACGCTGCCTCGTCCCGCAAGTTGACCCCGGCTTGACCAGAGTTGGCCTCTGATTGTTTGGAACCCAACTGTCAAGCGAACATGTGCAGCGTGATCATTGGTGGCGCCGGGTGAGCTCAGCGCGGCGCGACCTGTGGCGAGGTCAGCCCACGCGAGGAACGGAGTGGGGAGAGTGTGGCAAGTCATGAGACGGGTACGTGCTTCTTGGATAATAGAGTGACATGTGAGCTTTGAGTGTTCGTGAACCCAGCGTGTCATATGAGGTAAGCTCGCAAAAATTCCATGAGCTAAAAATTGCACGGATGAACTACACACCCAGACTTCCCTGCATCTAGGATTGCTTGTCTAAAGCGTCTCGAAGGTACTTTTCTCAGATACGTCACCATTTTCGTCCCCCGTTGGCTACGACATAGTGTTCGGCGCGTGGCCGACGCTGCGCGGCCTATGGAGACGCCTGTCATTGAGGTCTTTGTTGCTAAGATTTGCAAGCTCGCATGATCAAGACTACGTTATATAATTTGTATCACTTACCAATTCCGACTGAATGTTGAGCATTTCCAGGCAAACATGGCTTGACCAGGAAATATGATTCGTGGAAAAAGTTCGATCTACGTCCGCAGAGTCGTAAATATGCCTGTTCAGTCAAGATAAAGATTCTGACAGAGCTTCTGAGTTGTATGTGCTTAGAAAGAGTACACTGGATTGTTGTGAAATAAAGAGCACCAGTGGCTTATTTCGCAGTCATTTAATGCATGATTTATTTAATTCATTGACTTACAATTAAGGCAGCATGGATCTCGCGGTAGCTTTTGGCTTCTGTTACAGCTTTTGAAGGAAGAAATAAATATATCAAGCAAAAACATGCTCACATTAACAGATAGGACATACTGGGCGATATCTTTCTAAAGGAGGGTCCTTCCTCTATTAGGATCTCACTATCACTATGTGTTATCCGTGTGCGTCTCCCTTACTAAGGCTTTAGCTGCACGCCTGCCCTCGGCACGTAAATTTCCATTGTCTGGAAGAGCATAAGCAATATTGTAGAAAAATAATACACAAATGCTTTTCTTGGCCTTATGCGTAACGTTCGATGAAACAGATTGTCGAAACCTTATGCACGCATTATGAAACGGGATGTGGTTGGTAGCAATCTGAATTACACGAGGAGTGGGATAAAAAGGAATAAGTTGTTCGGTCTGTCAAAATAGCTCTTATGTTTTTAACCGGAGGATCTTTTGTTTCAGCCTTATACAATAATCAATTATTTCGCGTCCGCATGACATTGCGATTTATTTCCTTGAGACCAAATGTACAATTGTAAAAGCGAACAGGTAAATGATGACTAGTCTCAAATACCTGCGAAAAACTGATGTTTCGTGGACGCAAATCATCGATCGCAATAATGGGTCCCGCTCCTATTTATCCTGGTTTTCGTACATTTCAGATGTGGTAGCAATTTAGAGTCACCTCTAATAACGCTAGCACATAGGCGTAGGAACGTTTCAAAAAGTGGGGGGGGGGGGCAAGCTCAGGGTGTACTTCAGTAACTTTTTCTGGAAAGCGAGCCCGATGACCGCCGGGGGAGGGGGGGGGGGGCGGGAGGGATGGGGGTTGTTATCGTTCTTTATTCAAATGTCATGGCTGCTATGCTAGATATGCATCTAGAGCTGTTTATCACTGGTGCACAATCTTGCCCATCCGACTCATCTGTCATTTGGTAAATAAGACTATCCAGCTTCCCTAGATTATTCGTACATTTTAACATTGTCTTTTCTGGGGAGGCGAAATTCCACGAGTGGGTAGACATTTTGGGTCATTAAGGAAGCATCTGCTCCCACAGTGTAGATGCCAAAATACGGTCTGGATATAGGCTGGTGAGAATTTTGAAAGTGGATTGATGGCTCACA